AGGAATCGTCAAGAGGCCTACCTCTGGTCTTCCCTGTCTCGGAAGATCTTCAAAAGCTCGGATGTTGACATCGCCCGCATCATCGGTCACCTCTATCCTGCTTCCCTCAAGGACGACTGGGATGAGAAACGCAAGGGCTTGGATCGCCTTGCTGAACGCGTCTTTGACCATCTACGCGATCAGATGCCCAAGAACACTACAGAAGCCCTTCAGACCAGGTGGAACAACTGATGAAAGAGAACGAGAAGCTCAAGGCTGCCACTGGACGTCCTTCTTCTCCTGCTCTCAGTCCTTCAGAACCGGAAACACCTGCTGATCGAGAACGCCTACGAATGGACAAATCCAAACCACTCATCACCCCTCCAGCTCCTCCTCGCTCGGGACGCACTTTGGATTCTCACTTCAAGCCCGCCACACCCGAATTGGACAAGACTACTCCACCTCCCGCCGTCCCTTCTGATCCTCTTCATGCCTACATTGTCGGCACCAATCGCCCAGTCTTGGAGGACAACGCACCCGTCAAGGCTTCCAAGACTGAAATTGACAAGTGGATCAAAGCCAATATCAAGGACAAGGCTCGCCTGACTAGTTGGAAGACACCGCCAAGGAGATTGACTCCATCATCACCACCCTCAAGGCCGACAAGCTGGACCTTCCCAATCTCTGCCGTCTCACAATTGCTTTCGCATGCTGGCTACGGCCAACGCTCTCGTCGCCTGATGGTTTCTACAACACTACCCGACGGCTTTCGTTGACTATGACCTTTTCTCAAGATTGCTCCCCACTGGTCCTCTTATCGTTTCAGTTCGTCTACTCCAACTTTTTCTCCAGTTCTTCATTCTGGTTGATGCACATTGTGAACTTACCTATTTGGAGCTTCGCCCTTTGGTCTTTTTGAAAGGTCAACTTTGCCGCCTGATTCTTTTTCGCACTCTTCCTGCTAGTGCCCGCCGCCAAACTTTTCTCTCATTGCTGCATCGTCTTCGCCCTCGTCAACCACTCTACCTCCAGGACTATTTCCACTCCAACGTTGTGTACCTTCGGTTCCACCCACACCGTCAAGCCTACTACATCGGCAGTAGTATACTTTCTCTCTTTGATCGTGAGATGTCCCGGAAACGGAAGTACCGGCAACTCTGCAGCGGCATCAATGCCTACTATGAACCCGCTTTACGTTATTGGAAGCGGACCCGCACCTTTTTTCAGCACGCTGTCATCCCCCTCCAACTCACTTCCGACACTTTGACCACACGCTCTACGGAAATATCCTACCAACAACAATTTCGACCTCAACTCAACCATCCCTGGATCAACCCTCTCCTTCGACGTCATGGTCTTCATGTACCTCAATACAACATCCCCACGACTCGCCGCGGTCCTATTGGCATGACACGTCTTCATCGACATCGACGCCGACTGGAACGTCACCATGCTCAGGAGTGCATCTTGGATCTACACCTACATAAAACCTTGGACGTTCTTCAACTCCTCCATCGATTGGGGAGCGACACCAAAGAGAAGTTCTACACTTCCCGCGTCCTTCGCAGTCACTCCGCTTCCCAGGAGGTTCTCTATCTCCTTTGGTCGCAGCATTTTCACATTGAACCCTGGCGGTCACGTGCCTCCTCCCAGCTCAAGTTGATCTTCCGCTTCCGCAATCTGATGATTCCACCGCCCCAGGCCACTCTTCGCCTTTTCCAACTATCTCACGGCTTTCTACAACGTTGTCGTCAATACTTTCGCGGTTTTCTACGACTCCACTCCCACCTTTTTCCACCTCTACAAGTACCAGCTTCACCGATCATCGAGGTCAAGTCTCACACACTGGAACACTACCTCTTCACCTTCCGCACCTTTTTACGACAGTGGACCCCATCCTCTTCACCCCAATGCAGCTGCCACCGAATCAGACAAGATTTTCCTCGACACCCAGACTCCAACCACATCATTGGCTTTGCTTCAGACCTTACCCTGGTTTGCTGCTTTCGGGTGCCAACCTTCAAGACACCGTATGGCCCGATGAACGTCACTTCCTGAACCACTCCGTCACTCAGATGGACCGTTGGCTACACGCTTGGCAACTTCCCTCCCGTCTTCACATTGAATGGCAACATTTCTTTCGACAAGAATGGGACTGTCACGCTGCACGTCAAACCACCCACGCCAATGGGTGGTCCACCGCTGAAGTACAAGCCTTTCGCCGCTTCACCAAAGGCTTCATTGTTGGACCCGGTGATCATTTTCCACACACTGCCATCCTTTCCTGCCCCTGCCACTACCACCACCTTCTCCTCAAGACCTTCCTACCGTCTCCTACCACATCTACACCAGCTTTCCAACCACTGCGGCACGGCATTCACCTGATCAGAACCCGACTACGTGACACCTGACCACCTCAACTTCTTCAACGCTACCGATGGGGCCTACACTGGGACCGTCGTCTTCCGCGTACATCCTTCCCAAACATTCTCGAGACTGGAGCAAAGCACGACCAATAGTATCTTACACGCAGACAGCCTGCGCTCCCCTCAGTCAGACAGTCGCTTCTGCCATTTACTGCCTTCTCCAGATTGTCTTCCCGGAGTTGACCGCCCTTTCGGACGTTCTACCTCTTCTTCGACATATTTGGAAGATACTTCAGCAGTACGACCCCACTGACGACCTTGTTCTCTTCCAACAAGACATCGCTGGTTTCTTCCACTTCGTCACCCATCCCCGAATGGTCTCCACCGTAGAATTCCTGATCACACGTTACGCAGCTCTCCAAGGCCTGGACTTGCAGGGCGACCCTATCCTCAGCGTTGCTCAACATCAACAAGAACGTCTTCAACGGATCTTTCGGGGCCGATGGCGGAAGACCTCCAGGTCCTACCATCCCATCCATCTTCGTGACTTACCAGATTTGGTATCTCACTTGCTTGAATCCTCTTACTTCACCTGTCAAGGAGCCTCCATGGGTTCACCTTTGGCACCTGCCTTATGCAGCGCTGTCGCACTTTTCCGGGAATACTGCTTTCTACGCTCGTTCCCGAGCTCTTCCTGGCGTTATGCCACAGGACTGGCACTTCGGGCACGTTACGTCGACAATGTATTCTTCCTTGGAACCTCCCACATGCTCCGTACTGACTCCTTTCAGGCCATCGCTCAACCCTTCTTCTACGGCAGACCACTTGAGATGGAGTATGTCGCCGATGAGACACTGCTCGGGTTCGCTCTTTCCACGGCTCAACGTACTATCACCTTTCGACAACCACCTCACCTCACATTGATCCGGAGCAATCGTACTGCTGGTTCCCCAGAAATGGCTCTCGCCGGCTTCTTCACACGGGGCATCTTGATTTGCCGACTGACTCGCCCTCGGAATTTGATCTTTCCTCAACTCGCAGACTTGACTCAACAATACCTCGACAAAGACTTTATGATGGTTCAACTCCTACCTCTCCTTCATCAACTTTGTCATCGTTTTCATCTACCACGACGAGATCTTCACGCCCAACTTCGGTTTCTCAGTTTCTCTTGACGCAGCACTTGAGACCCATTTTCGCTTGAAAACATCCTTCGCGCCACATTTTCTCACTTTCGGACTGTTTCCGTCACATCTCATGCTGTTCCTTTTCCTTTTCCTTTTTCGCCTTTGATTCACCTTCAGCTTCTTGGCTCAATTGTGTGCTCCCCATTTCCCTCTTGCTCGTCTACCTGGACTATGTCACAGTCGACCACCTCTGACCTCATTTCTACTATCGCGACACAACTCAACATCGTGATCGTCGCACTTCGTTTACTGGTGGATATGATCCAGAACCCGAGTGCCACATCTCCTGCCTAGACATCCCTCCTGCTTGTTTGAAGAGCCTTTCTAATATATGATTCTGGACAAGCTCAAAAGTTAAGCCGACTGTTGGCAATGATCAATTGTCGTGAGCAAACCATGAATTTAGTGCTCTTGGCATATAAGTAGAAGGCATGCCAACGCCAACAAAAATTGCGAAGAAGCCAAGTCCAACCCAGCAAGTGGGCCCACAATTGAGCAGACAATTGCGAAGGAGAGGCAGGCGCGCCATCTCAACCGCAGAGAAATGGAAAGAGCACAGCGCGCGCCAGGCGCGCGACTGCCATCGCGTTGGCGCGCGCTGGGCGCGCGAAAGAGTAAGGCTTGGCGCGCGCCGGGCGCGCGAAAGAGTAAGGCTTGGCGCGCGCCGGGCGCGCGAAAATATACAGGCTCTGCGCGCGCCAGGCGCGCGAGGGATGAAGGTAGCTGGGCAAGTGAGAGGATATCCCAAAAGAGTGGAGCTGTCCACGCGCAACCCCCGGAAATTCAAAAGGGTGGGTGGGTAAGGTGAAGGCTGCGCACAAGAGGTGGCAGCATTCCAGGCAAAGCCACTTCCAATCGCGAAAGATACAGGCTGTCCACGCGCGACCCGCGCGAATATTAAGCGGTGGGTGGGGGGTAAGGTGAAGACTGCGCACAAGAGGTGGCAGCGTTCCAGCAGGCTGTCCACACGCAACCCGCGCGAATATTTAAGAAGGGTGGGTGGGTGGGTAAGGTGAAGGATGCGCGCAAGAGGTGGCAGCGTTCCAGGCAAAGCCACTTCCAATCACGAAAGAGACAGGCTGTCCACACGACCCCCGCGAATATTAACAAGGGTGGGTGGGCGAAGGCTGCGCACAAGGGGCGGCAGCGTCCAAGCAAAGCCACTTCCAATGACCCAAAGAGAGAGGCTGTCCACGGGCGACCCCCACAAGAAAAAGGGTGGGTGGGTGAGGGCTACGCTTCCTATAGTTTAAGTTTGAAACTCCCTTGAGCCAAGCTCCTATAGGATATGTTTGAAACCTGCGCTTCGTTTAAGTTGAAACTGCCTTGGGCCAAGCTTCTTTAGGATAAATTTGAAACGCAACTTTGTTGATGCTTGTTGGGTTAGCCAGCTTTGTGATTTTGTGTGCATGGTGACAAGAACATTGGACTTGCGTGCGTCCACACGCTGGCTCAAAGACCTTTTCTTTCAGCGGCGCGGTCCACCCGCAGCTTGGCTTCGAAACACGCCGGTCAGCTGCAACAGTGCCCGGTAACGGTGGAGGGTAGTGTAATCCATAGTTCGCGGATGGGTTGCACTTGCCACACGGCCGATCTGACGCGTCAGATCTTCTTCGGCGTAGCAGTGTTCAAACCTCATGGGGGCACACTGCACTATATAGGTTGGTTTGAAACTCACACACAGGGGCACTTAAAGACCTTCCATGAAAAAGACGTGTCCTGAAACCATCCTAAGTAAAGGGTTGAAGCTCACATGGACTCAATGGCTCTTGACATCTTTCATGAAACAAAATTCATAGAGAGATGAAACATCATGAAACTAACATTTGAGGATGTTTGAAGCGAGTCCGGTGGATTTGAAACTCACAGGCGAGGGCACTTAAGACCACAAACTTTTGACACCGTGCTAGGCACCTGGGGTTTCTGCAGCTGTGTTCAATGTACTCGGCGAGGTTAACCATACAATGAAACTTTGGCGTCAGTTTGTAACACCGCCGCACCTCACCAAACTTCGCCCTGTCGTCGGCGGCTAAGCGCTGGTAAAACAGCAAGAAAACTCGCGCATAGTTGGCGGTCTCTCTTGCCACTCGCCGGTTAAAAAAACCAGGGTTCTCGTCAATCTTTTTTTGGAAAGTCGCCAGCGCGTGCATCGCATGACACCGAAGATTTGAACCCGGAGTTGTTCCTTGCTGCTGCCATAGGTAGGCTGCGCTCCAGTAAATCATGTCTTTGATGACCGCACCTTTGTAGGTGGATCCCATCTCGGGGAAGGCATTCCACTGCTCGCGACCCAGCCGGGCCAGGTTGAACCGGTGTGAACAAGGGGTCTTGCGATGTGCAGCGCACCAGCTTTTGTAAGAGTTCCACAACTCTTCTCCCATGCGCTTCTCTAGCTGTGCCAAAGTTTGGTGTGGGTCTTTCTCTTCTAAATCCTCACACAAGCAACTGGCGATTGCGACCATGGCAACCCCCTGGTGGAGCACATGAAGTAAGTCCTTAGACGCCCGCACATACAACCAGCGCAGGCGCAAAAACACATACCAAAGAAAACAATAGAACAATTGCACCAAAACTGCACGAGGGTCCTCCAAGTTCCTGTCAGGGCACCAACCACGTACATTCACCCAAGCAGAAAGCCTCCTGGCAGAACATGAGTGCACATACTCATCAAAAGACCGGCGCGTTCCCATGTAGGCCGCGTCATCGTTGAAGTTTCCGAAATTGGCACGGGTCGCACTACACTTTTCGCATATGTTGTGCGCGCTGTAGTTTCTTTCAAACTTGTGGGCCACCACTCGCCCTTCCCAGTCGGCCTTGAACCCAGCGAACCTCGCAGTCCACCCGCCAGCATAGCATGAGCCAGCTCGGCTGGCTTGCGCAGAGGATTGTGGGAAGGGACGACCATATTCGTCAACATGAGGAAACCGACCTGTTTCCAAAACTGACATGCAATAACCAATGCGCTTGGCAATCTCATCATGCGTGCTGTGCTTCTGAACAATGGTGTCGCGAACCAATGTAAATACCAGCTTTGTCTCTGTAGACAGGCCCTTCCGAGTGGCACTGCAAAAGCTATAGATCCAGGCTTTTTGGTTTTTGTATACCTTCACACCGTCCATGTGCCAGTAAACAGGGATGCAGGTGGCATAGTCTTCTTTCTTCAAATTGAGCCGGCTAAAAAACTCCAGGCCCTCACAATGCGACCAATATTCTTGAACGGCTTGCCCAGCAACATTCAAATTGTCAGACACCCATTGATAGAACATTGTTGAACCTGGAGACTCCCAAAGCCAGTTCAGCAGATCCCACGGCCATATCACCGCGTTGTCTTTAAGGGTGCGCACCAAAACAGGTTGTCCATCGCGGGCTTCCTCCGCAAGCAAAGGTAATGCAGTGAAGGAAGGGTGGACTGAGCACATTTTGGCGCACCACCTGAGCACGGGTGTCCAAACAACCTGGGACAGAACTAGTGGGGTTGAAGTTTTTGTGAAAGTGCTTTTAGGTGTTCTTGGATCTTCAGGGCCTAAAGTCAAAAGAGACCCGGACATGTTCCCATGCACTATAGAACCCGTGACTTGTTTGGGACAAGGCTCCGTGAAAAGTTTCGCTCTTCGTGACCAGTGCCAGCCCATTTGGCCAGTGTTGCGGACAGCTTACATGAAACACCATCTGCCACCAAGTTGGCAGCAGACCTGCAGCCATCGGCCACTGAAGAAGCCTCACACAGAACTTGAACCCCATCAGACACTTTCCCACAAGTCAATCTTTTGGTAACAGGAAAGGAGGGGCGTAGAAAATAGAAAGGGCAGGCGGTGAAGCACAGTTGAACCAAGAAACACCAGAGCACATCTTTCGGAGCAACGCCAGCGCAGAGTGTGAAGCATCTTTGAGCTCAGGCCTCATGTGGGGCGATCCGCCATTGGTTGAAGGCCACCGGATGGGAGATCTCGATCGCTCCCTGCGCGTTGGGGACCGTGCAGTATCTTTCAAAAAAGGTTGAGAGGATACAAAAACAACGTTTTTGTATCCAGTCAACCTATGTAGGTTTTGGATTCTTGTGAGCGAAAGACATAGCTTCATTTCTTCGAGCTGGACTTCGAAAGATCACTTGATCACTTGTCGGATCATTGCGGAACCCACCTTGCAGCATGAGATTTCCCTCCCCTAAGCTGCGCCATTGGGAACCACGCTACACCCCTGAAAAGTTAGAAAGAGTGATTTCACTCCTTCTTTGCCCGAGACTTTGCCTTGGGCTTCGGCTTCGAGTTTTTCTCACTTGCCCGAATCAGCGCCCTGGCCAATTCCAATCGCTCTGTCGCCAGAGCCGTGGCTTCGTTGACCTTGGGTGGTGTAGGATGGTTTTGGATAATTTTGGGGCCTGGAACTGGATACAATCGTTGATCAATGTTGATCAGATTACCAAAACTATTTCCGCAAAGGAACCTCTTGGATGACAGCCACTCTTTTATGGTTCTTATCCTTGTTGGCTCGAATCAGGCCCTGCAACTTCTTGGCACACCCCTGGAGCTGCACGTCAAGTGCGTTCAACTGCCCAATCAAGCCTTCTGACATCGCCAACGGTCCCAATTTGAACGCATGGTCTCGGCAAGAGTTGGCCTTGCTCAGGACTTGGTTCTGGAGAGCAATAGCCTTTTGCAAAGGGGATTGCTCAGTCATCTTGTGGGGACCTTCAGGGCTTTCACCTTCCCCTTCCTTCCCTTTTGGAGTCTTGGGCTTCTTGGGAGTTTTGGGGACGCCCATTGCAGAAACCAGTTTCTTTTTGCCGGACTGATCCATGAGGTTCCCGATCTGCAAGTGCTGATCACCGTTGAGGCTGCCACCTGCCTGCAGCGGAGGAACCGATACTATGGCCTCCAACCTAAAAGCGATGGTGTCCAACCTACTAGCAATGGGCTCCAACTTAAAGCGATGGCCTCCAACCTATAGGCAGTGAGGAAGGGTCATATGTTTGTTGTTCGCACGAGCAGACCTGGCCTCCACGAACGCTTTCAAACAATCGGCGTCCAGGCCACCTTCCATCTCAAGCTTGGTTACCCTTTTCAGCTCAGCGATGTTTTCAATGTCGAGTTCCACAAGCACGAAATAGAGCAGTTCCTCCGGGTCATTGGGAAACTCAGGGTCACTCACAGTCCTGAGATGAGACATCGGAAGAATGGTTTGATGTCGAGGGGAGTGCAATACATGGCAGTGCGTCAGCATAGATATAGATATACCCACATATATATATATACACATATTGAGTAAATATATATATATATGTATCACTGTGGATCATTCACGAAACACAACATTCAGCTGTGATTCAATCCCAATTCTTTCTTTCTTTGCATGATCTTTTCAGCGCGCTTATCCCCGTGGTGGCGCGCCAACCAGGTTTAGTTGCGAAAACCATAACGCAACTTGGTTTTCTGCGTCTCTTCCAGGCGACGTTCAAAGGTAAGCTTGAGCGCCTCAAAACTGCAACCATTCTTGATGTAATCTTCAAAGAGTTGCTGGCGACCCTCCTGGAAACGCAGACTTGCTGTTTGAACATTCCCCTTGATATACCAATTTTTTAGAGTAGGAATTGATAGAGGTCTCAAAACAGTTGGCTCTCCTGAGTCTGCGCTGCTGCCATCATCTTTGCAGGACACCTCTTTTTGTTCTTGACCCAGCGATCCATACGCATCCACTCTTTCCTGTGCGATGAAGAGTTAGGCAGCTTGCTGTCCTCAGCCTCTGCCAAGGTCTTCTTGTCCTTTGTCTTCCCTGATTTCTTGTGCTTCTTGTTCTTTGCCTTCTTTGCTTTTTTGCCTTCCTTCGCATCCTCTCCAGACGCCTTCTCCTTTCTGTTAATCTTTTCTGGTTTTGCACTCTCATCGTCTTCCACCTCCTCTTCTGTCTCCTCATCTTCTGAGCCCTTCCCTTCAGACTTCTTCGCACGTTCAGCTGCACACTTTCTCCTCTTCTCCTTTTTTCCCACATCCTCTTCTGTCTTCCTCTTCTTTGCACTTGAACCTTCATCTTTGGTCGTCTCCTTCTTCTTGTTCTTCTTTGTCTTGCTCTTGCCTGCTTCTTCCTTCAAAGCCTTATCATCTTCACTTTCAGACTCCGTCTTCTTTGGTTTTTTGCCCTTCACATCAGACTTGCCGCCCTTCTTCTCCTTCTTCTCAGCGTCCTCCTCCTCTGTTTGGTCCTCCTCCTCTGTCTCGCCCTCCTCCTGGCTCTCACCCTCGTCTTCTGTCTCCTCATCAGCCGACACCTCTTCCTCCTCCTCCAACTCCTCCTCCGTCTCCGTCTGTTCATCATCTGATGTCTCCTCGTCCTCATGGTCCTTCTTCTGTGTATCCTTAGCAGCCTCCTTCTCTTTGGCTTTTGTTTTGCCCTTCTCCTTTTGCTTCTCTGAGGCTCCTTCTTCTTCTTCGTCTTCTTCGTCCTCCTCCTCTTCCTCAGAGCTCTCTTCACTTGCCTCTGAGCTTTCAGCGTCTGAAGAACTTTCTTCTTTTGCTTCTTCTGCTTCTTCTGCCTCATCGCTTCCTTCCTCCACCTCTTCACCTTCTTTGCTGCTCTCTTCACTCTCAGAGCATATCGAAGATACATCGGACTCTTCACTGGAAACGTCCTCCTCAGAATCCAGCTCATCTTCCTCAGACGGTACCTTTGTTTTGAACCATCGACCAATGGTTGTTTGTTTTGCTGGGCGTTTCACCCTTCGACCCAAAATGGCCGGCCTTGGAAATTTGGTCCCAGTGGAAGTCCAACGCTTAATGCAACTCTTGGGAAACTGCGTTCGAACAAACAAACCTCCCACCTTTGCCTTCACCGATTTCTCATCTTTGTTCTTCTTTGTCTTCGCTGGCTCTTTCTTCTTTGGCTCCTCCTTTTCTTCTTCTTCTTCACGTACTTTCTTCTGCTTCTTTGTCAATGCATCCTTCAGCACTTCCTCTTCATTCTTATTCTTCCCCAACGCAACCTCCTTTGGCTCTCCCTTGGCGTTCTTCTTCTTTGCTGACTCATCCTCCTTTGGAACTTCCTTGTCATGCTTCTTCTTCTTTTTCTTCGCTGGTTCATCCTCCTTTGGAGCTTCCTGGTCATTCTTCTTCTTCATCCTCTTCTTCGCTGACTCATCCTCCTTTGGGGCTTCCTTGTCATGCTTCTTATTCTTCGCTGATTCATCCTCCTTTGGGGCTTCCTTGTAATTCTTCTTCTTCTTCGCTGATTCATCCTCCTTTGGAGCTTCCTTGTCGTTCTTCTTCTTCTTCGCTGATTCATCCTTCTTTTCAGCTTCCTTGTCATACTTCTTATTCTTCTTTGCTGACTCATCCTCCTTTGGAGCTTCCTTGTCATTCTTCTTCTTCGCTGCTTCATCCTTTGCAGCTTCCTTGTCATTCTTCTTCTTCTTCGCTGATTCATCCTCCTTTGGATCTTCCTCATCCTTGCTATTCTTTGTCTTCTTTGCTGCCTTGTTCTCCTTCTTTGATGGCTCCTGCTCTTCCTTGCCATCGTTTTTCCTCTTCAATATGCTGACTGCCCCGGTCTTCGGGTTCTTCTTTTTGATGGGGCCATCACTGCTAGTTGCAACCTCCTCATCGCTCTCCACCTCACCCCCACGCTGCTTCCTCTTCATTTCGGCAATGATCTCTTTTGCCTCCTGTGGACTCATGCTCTGCTGACCTCTGTTTTCTGCGCGGATAGGTGTCACTAGTATATTCTCGTCGAAGGAAATCTTCCTTCTGACAAGCTTCTCACCTGAACCTGTCTCACACTTCTTCTTAGGTGGGGGTGTAGCCGTAGCTGCGGCTGCTTCCTTCAAAGATTTGGCATCAGGACTCTTCCCCCGTGCATTCCTCTCAACCTTGCCATTCTTCACAGTGAGCTTTTCCCTAAGCCGGCATGGTGGTACCCCAGCCGCCGCAACCATAGCTGTGGTAGCTATGTGGTGTGCACTGCAAGCGCTCGAAACCTCCAAGCCCTGTATGAACCAGGACGCACAAAGGTAATGAAAACCACTGTGGGAGAAGAAACTGTTCAAGATTTCATGTAACACACACAGAATGTAGCTACATTTTCTGTTTTGATGCGCCAAATCCCTGTCGACAACAGGGTCGCACTTCCAACCCACGCCCAAACTCGACCATTCCCTTCTCATTTTCTTCCAAAAAACAACACCACAAAACCCATGAAAATTCTCGGTTTTTCACGCCATATTCATGGAATGTTCACGATTCACGGGTTGCCACAAGTTGACCAAAGTTGGGAAAAAAGT